CATGAGCGCTTCAAAAGTTATTCGTGGTCAAAGGTTAAAATTTCAGGTTTTTTGAGTTCATCTCGAAAACCGCAAGTTTTATAAAAAAAATAATACGGCATATGAGGGATAACTAATATGATCTGAAAGTTGGTCTTTTCCAAATGGATTTTCTGTCTTTCGATACTCCAAAACAATTTAGTTGAGTAGTAGTTTGAGGATCAAAAAGTTTCAAGTGAACATATTGTATACAACATGATGCTGCACATGATCATCAATTTTTGGCTCGAAACGGTGCAACTTATACAAGGCGCCATACAGTATTCGTAAATCATAATTTCTCTAATAAATCTCATCTTAGGCCGGTGACGTACTTCGCGATTTCTGAGCTGCTTTTCCAGCGCGGTGATGCTGCACATGATCCTCAATTTTTATTATTTATGTTAGCTAAGAATTGTTGTTGGTTTGGTGGAAATGTCATAAATTCATCAAATATATGTTTTAGTAATTCGACGACGTTGTTCTGCAGCTTTAATATTTTTTGTTGTGTACCTGTAGCCATCAAATACTACCGTGACTGTATGACCATAATGTCTACGCAAATAGCCAGATGTTATATTCAAGGCCATATGGTTAGAGGGGATTTTCGAAGGGAGTGAAGGTCCTTTGAATGTATATTTTCTGAATATAATATATAGTATATACATAAAAGAGACACAAACAGGTATTTTTACTTGCTTAAGTACCTGAATGTGTATATACGTGGCTAATGTGTGCATATTACATTGAACGTGACTTTTACAATTGCGATATCTCAGGAACGGTGATAAAACACAAGATCTATCAACTGAAACCACAAATGTGCGGTTGGCTCCTGCTGGTGGCTCCGTGCATTTGTATTTCTATCTTTTGGTAAGCAAGTGTTGCCCATCCTTACACTTGGCTGCACCATACTGATGATAGGCCAAAAGCCCGAAACACGTGTCTATGGTTTGCCACTTTCTTGAGTGCTATGTCCGATATTAACTTCTGTGTGTATTTAGATATATGTATTTATATTTCTTTTTTTTTCAGCTTGGCATGTACGATTAAAGCAGTATTATACTTCAGAAGAAAGTGGTACCAGTGACAAGAAGGTTGACAAGTTACACAAAACATCTGTTGACAGCAGCGAACTTCAAAAAACACCACTCAAGGTTTCAAATCACCATCCGAATAAATCCCCATTGAAATTGAAATTCAAGCTGGATTTCAATAAGTATTCTGTTTCTGAGAACAGAAGTACTCATGATGATAAGTACAAGGATCGAGAAACAGAACATGATAGAGACAAAAACAAATCGAAATATAGATATAAGCACCATAAAGATAAACATAGAGACAAATCAAGAAGTGGAAAAGATCGCCATGAACATCGTCATAAAGATAAACATCGTGACAAAGATAAAAAGAAGCATCACATATCCCATAAAAGTGATAAGAGTAGTGATAAAAAGCATAGTTCCCAATCTTCTTCATGTTCACTCAGAGAGAAAAATCAGAACAATACCAAGTTGAGTCATTCAAATAGTGATACTAGTAGTAATAATAAAAGTTCGACATCAGACTCTATTGTACGTCATTCTAGCTCTTTATCAACTACGGATACACCAGTTTCTTCCATTATTGATGATTCTCCGGTTAAAATTATTGTGGGCGATAATTTGAGCGTTTCCTCTATCAAGGTATCCTCTGAACTGAAATTGTCGTCGCCTTTGAAGAAACACAGGGATAAAATACATAAGGTCAAGCTACAGAAACCGCAGTCGACCGATGTGCTTGGTGATATTTTAAAAGATATGAATAAATGTGATCCCCACATTTGAAAATAAGCATTGATAAGAAGTGAATTCTGAATCTCCATATTCAGTATTTCGCTTCTTGTATTGACTCTTCACTTCAGTGCTCTTGACTTTGTACATAAGATTAAGTGCCCAAGAAAGTGTCTATTAATTTGAAACAGTACCTCATTTTCAATTTATAAATGCAAAAACATGTTTTGCCATCAGAGATGTGCAAAATAGTTTATTAAAAGTATTCAAATGCAAATGCTTGGTTATTATTCATGTTAAATAAAAATATAAAATGGTTTTAAATGAAGTATGAAATGAATGAAGTATTCAAATACAATATGCAAAATACGTATTTTCAAATGAAATACCTCATTTTACTGATTTTAACACAAATATTCCATCGATGGGTTAATCTTTCATGTTTAGTCTATGTGGCCTCATAATCATGCCACAAAACGAAAATAGTTGTTCAACATGTGCAGAGATTGGTAAGTTATACTGAAGGTTTTTTTACCTTGGATATTTATTGAAGGATTCTAAACTACTGTCTTCATCGTGTGGATATTGTAGTGTTTCCAGATCTGATGCATCATTAGCATTACCGCGGGCTGTTGAATAATCAGAGTCATCAACAACCATTTAATGGGATTTCAACTGAATCTAAAGAAATGAACTTTAAACGTTCAAGCCAGTCTTAGATATACCTACACAGTAGGTTGAATGGACTGAACCTATCAGAAAACAACTACTCCCCTGGCTAATACCACGAAGGGTGTTGGATTATATCCGACAGGCGTTTGCGCAGGAATCTTTACAGAAAATTTCCTGCATATGCAATTGGCAATACAACTGAAAGAGTCAACTTTCAATTTTGGAACGGGCACACTTGCAGACCGGTTTCGGGGTCAGTAGTCACTCATCAGAGCAAGATAGTGACAATCATAGACTTAAAGTCATTGATATTCCATAATTGGAAATCGGAATTCTTTCAGAGTATTTCATTCCTCTTCCTAAGTTGAAGTGAAACAACAAAATGTCACTCCATCTCGTGGACGAGGAAATTTGCGCGATTCCTCTGAATAAGAAAGAAAAACTTTCTTATTAGTCAGTGGGCTATGCTTAAAGACTGGCAGTAAACAAATCTAAAGAAATGAACGTTCAAGCCAGTCTCAGATATACCTACACAGTAGTAGGTGCCTGTTCCAAAATTGAAAGTTGACTCTTTCAGTTGTATTGCCAATTGCATATGCAGGAAATTTTCTGTAAAGATTCCTGCACTGACGCCTGTCGGATATAATCCAAGGCCCTTCGTGGTATTAGCCAGGGGAGTAGTGGTTTTCTGATAGGCGTCAGTCCATTCAACCTACTGTCTAGGTATATTCGAGACTGGCTTGAACGTTTAAAGTTCATTCCTTTAGATTTGAAAATTTTAAGACCTAACAAAGATACAAGACATTTTTCCAAATTTTATCTTCAATCTCCAACATAGTCTCCTTTCAACTCTACGCACTTCTCGCAACGATGCTCCCATTTTTGTTACCCGTCCAAATAGTACTCGGAGTTTTTTATGGAAAATAATCATTGTTCACGAAGGTGACTGCCTCTTCTGACGAAATTATCTGTCATTCGACCGCAGTGAGAGAACAAAAAGAAGTCGCTTGTGGCTAGATCTGATGAGTAAGGCTTATGGTCAAGCAGTACAAACCGTAATTCGTGGATTTTTGCCATGCACCGCTGAGATGTGAGACGGTGTGTTGTCTTGGTGAAACAGGATTTTCTTTTTCTGCAAATGTGGCCGTTTTTCCGCTAGTTCTGTTACGTATCATGCTGCTGTAATGGTTTTTCCTTTTTGAAGATAATCGATTAAAATAACTCCGTGACTATCCCAAAAAACAGTCGCCAATACTTTCCCAAACGAAAAAACAGTTTTTGATCTTTTTGAAGCCGGTTCCTCCTTTACAGTCCACTGTCTGGACTGTTTGTTTTTGTTTCGGGCGTATAATGGTATATCCAAGTTTCTTCTACAGTAATTAATCGGCATCAAAACTCGGATTTATTGCACTTAAACTGTGCCAACAGAACGTTGGAAATGTTCATTCGAACACGTTTTTGGTCAAACGTGAGCAAGCGTGGCACCCAATGCGCGGACAGCTTTCTCATGCCTAAATGTTGATTCAGTATGTGACCAACACGTTATTTTGACATGTTCATAACCTCTGCGGCGGTCATCTATCACTATTTGGTGAACGTTGGCGATGTTTCGTCGGTAGTTGCAGTTTTTAAACGTCCTGAACGTTCAGCGTCTCTCAAGCTCTTACGACCACGTTTAAATTCAGCTGCCCAAAATTTCACTGTGGTAAATGATGGTGTGGAGTCCCCTCTTACACATAATCCAACTCATCTTCGATTTGCGTAGACCTATTGCCTTTCAAAAACAAATATTCAGTGATAGCTCGATACTCGTTTTTGTCCATTTTCATAAAAACACTCACATCAACTCCCTCAGACGACTGTTACATAACAACTCCGCGTCCAAAATGGCTGAAACTTTGGTGAGTAACAGATGAACAACGAAATTCACTAGCTTTTATTTACGAGTTCTGCTATCATCATGTTGAGATGGAAAGCTTTTCAGACCACCCTCGTTTTTTTTAGGAGAGATTAGTTTTTTGGAAGAAATCTTCTTGGCTCTCTAAATTGCTAACAATTTAGACGTTGCTCGGTAGGAGCTAAGAGCATCCAATGCCGCTTGACTGTCCGAGAATATTTTTATTGACTTGTGTATGAGGTTGGATTCTTCCAATTTCTCTGCACACAATTCAGTAGCATAAATTTCCGCTTGGAATACAGTTGCAGAGGTTCCTAGGCAGGTTGATATCTCTGTCCTGTTTCTGCGACTGAAAACACCTCCTCCGGAACCGGAAAGTCTTTTCCATCCATCTGTGAACCAACAACTATCTGCTCTTAATATTTCGTTCTCCCGGAGGATCCAGGCAGTTCGTAGTTAACAGTTGGAGGTCATTTCCAGAATGCTGTGACTTCCAGTGCTATAAGCGTAACATTTTTTACCTTTCCTTCTTCGCTATCATGCTCATGCACTATTCAATAGTCCTTGTTTTTTTAGGAAAAACGTATGGTGGTCTTCGTCGAATCCACCGTAATGGATGACACAAACCTAGACCAGTACAAATCCTTCACCAAAATCAAAGACTCCTTGATGACTTTTCGGGACGGCAAGGACGATTTAACCGACAAAATAGACTTTATAATCTGCCTGGGAGGTGACGGAACCCTGCTATACGCCAGTCAACTTTTCCAACAATCCGTACCGCCTGTGATGGCTTTCCATTTGGGTTCTCTGGGCTTCTTGACGCCGTTCCAGTTCGACAATTTCCAGGACCAAGTGAATAACGTTTTGGAAGGTGAGTGTCGATGATAATGATGATCAAGAATGTTACCGTTTAATTGGCTTGACAAATTTTGCCGGAAAAGTCACCACCAAAATAGAAATTTTGTCGAGTTATTAGAGAATGTGAATATGATCAAACAAAGTTAGCTCAATTACAATATTGACTCAAAGATCTGTAACAATGATAAGATTATATATCCGATGAGTTTTTTGACTCCCCGCATTGTTTTTTGAGTTTTCTTGTCTTTTCATTCATTCAGCCAACAAACTCAATTTAATTTATTTGTATATTCAAGTAATGTTATTCCACTTAATTCATTTAGATTCAGATATGGCTTACCGCTGTTAAAGCTTTCTATATCCTCTATTGACTATGATTGTCTTGGATACACATATCTTCCTCCGTTTTGTTATATTTCTTGCTATTTCTCTCAACTTTCCAACTCAACAGGTCTTCTTTCACCTCTTTTAACCAGCTTGATCTAGGTCTTCCTCTTCTTTTGCTCCCTGCTGGTTTTCAATTCGTCATCATTCTCATTTCATTATCTTTTTTCATTCTCCATTTGTGTCCCTGCCATCTGGCTCTTCGTTTCTTGATTTCTAAGACTATATCTTCTTCACCTTTCTTAGTCATTGACATTGTTTCTGCTGCGTACATTATTGATGGTCTTCATTTCAGTGTTACTTGAGGTTTACTTATTTTTCAGTAGTTTCCTATTTGCCATTTCCATACTTCCATCTTTTGTTATTGTGACCCTAAGATATTTAAATTTCTCCACCTCTTCGGAAGAGTGCTCCCCAATCTTGTTTTTTGTCTGTCCTTTCCCCACTGTTTTTTGTTTGTTTATCACCAGATCCAATTTGTTTTCCTTTGTACTTACTTCTTTCAACATATTTTTCATTGTCTCTTCTCTTTGCAAGAATCATTAAGTCATCTGCCTAGCCTATTAATTGTCCACCTCCTGTTCTTATTGTTCTATTATCTATTGTCTCCTTGTCTTATCCTTTTATTTATATTTCGCTTGTTTTAGTTCCCTCAAATGGAACTTTGAAAGGGACAAAAAGGAAAATGATGAATAAATAAGTATTTTTTGAGAAAAATGAAATTCAGCTTAATTTTTTAACACAGTAGTAAATAGTTCGACATTAGGGAAATGTAAAAAGTGTGATTGAAACAAAATTGAAATTCTGATATGTTGGTTGCTTTAACTTTTTCATTCACAAACTCTTGTACTGAGTAGTAACTTACTTAACTTAATATTCTCTTCAAATTTTGTTTGAATTGTTCATGGTTCATGCTCGAAATTTTCCAGGTAACATATTTTTTTGTAGAATTTTATCCCCATATAATGTGGATTGTCTTATCCCATTGACAATCTTGAAAAGGGTTGATTTATTTTGGTTTTATATTGAACGTTTGGATCGTATGTACCCTTCATTGCTGTGGGATAACAGTTTTCATTCATAATTTGCTGATTCAGTCTGAAAAAAATGTTCTTGTTGGTGTCAAAAATGTAGTCAAGTAGCTATGGAGCAAAGTCAAGCTCTATTTATAACATTTTGCTAAATACGTCACAATAAAAACTCAACAAAATAATAGATAGGTAGTTGCGAAATACCTCTCTCTCCATATTTATTGGACGTTGCTTCCCACTCGGGTGCATTTGTCCATCCTCCTCCTATCAAAATTGACTGGAGCTTCGTTGGTGGGGCGCAGCGGTGTTGCTCGAAGCAATGCTGCCACCCCTTTTTTGTCGAACTTTTTTAATTATAAAAACACTTGAAATTTTTTATAAACTCGTCTCCTGCTGGGGAAGCTTTCTGACTTTTTACACATATCTTTCGTATAATTGGTACAATCCTATTCCCACGTGGACATTTGGTCCACCCCGGCCTTTAACCGGCGTGAATGGGGGTAGGTGTTATATAAATCCACTTTAGCACTTCCACGTGGACATCTGGTCCACCCCGATCTCCAACCGTCGAGAATGAGAGTGCCATTTCTCTTTAAAAACACTCACATGAAAAATTATTTTCATGGTGGCACGTTCTATGGCGGCGGATAATAACAACACAAACTGATTTCCATCTCCAACAATGGCGTCCGCGTACCTTCTTTGTGGACGGTCGTTATCGGTACGTCCTTCCACCACCATGTCAGAGACGAAACTCGTTGAGAAATACCTAATTCGGAATCAGAAGATTCAAAATAAATATTTGAAACTTGCAATGATCGTGAATAAAATCTTATACTAGAATTTAAGTGGAACGTGTGAATTATTAATATTTTGGGAAAGTAATACAAATCATTAAATTATGAAACAACAACAAAAATTATTTGGGTCCCCGGGCGACTTGATTGATTCCAGTGGCGCATTTGCTTTTTCAGCTGCAGGAAAACCCAGAAAAACCTGTAGCACCACATCATCTTGTTCCATTAATCTCCCAATGTCCTCTCTTTCATAAAACAAAATGTAGAGTGTCTCCAGAGGTTCCAATAAATTCAAGACATCGCCAGAACACTTAATGACACGATTATCGTCAAACTTAAACCAGTCCGTTTTGACCAATGCGTAATAATGACGATATTCAACTACAGAATCACAGTGAACAATGACTGTATGAAGATTATAATAGTGGTCTGCTAGATTGAAGCGTTCATCTATTTCGAACCTTCGTTAAGAGTTTGGTGCTTCCGTCACAGGTTGAGTCATGTTTGAAGATCAATCAGTATTATTATCAGATTAACTGGTGCCTCAGCTATACTTGTTTTCTTGTAATAGTTAGTTTGGTGCATTTTTGGCAATGCAGTCGATCATCAATCGTTAAAAGTTTCATTTTCAGTTGATTTAACAATAAGCTTTGCACGGACTAGTTTTGTTACTTTTTGCTACCTCTTGAACATTTACTACAAAGTAAACAAGTGAGGATTTTTCCAGTAAAAGATTTACAAACAAAAGATGAGATAGACTGTAAAGAATCATTGAATCCAGAGCGGTCAGAAGTATTGATTCTGCTATTTTTTTGGTCACGAAGAATACTCAACAAGAATCCCAAGAATTCGGAACAATCCACTTGTTGTCCTAACGAGTATCTAATGGACTTCAAAGACTCCAGGAAATCGGTTGGTGGGAAAGATGATATATACTTACGAAACTGCAACTGCATGAACAATTGTTTGAGTTTGGTGAATAAGTAGGAAACATTCTCGTTCTCATTCATCGATAAAACCTTGTTCTTGAAATTCTTCGTCATGAACAACATTTGTAAAACGCTATTCATGTAGCAAGTGTTTCCTAAATTATCTAATCCAATTTCCTTTGCAAGATTTTGAAGACAACTGTCTACTGATTCGTACGGAAGAACATGTTTCACAGAATCTCCATAAGAACCATTTCTCAAGCTGTGAAGAAGGGTTTCGTAGAGGGATCGATTCGGCTCTTGCTTCATGAAGCTCTTCCACTGAAAGGGAACCAGAACTACTAGGACTGCATATCATATTTGAGGGGGCAAGAATGACCTAAGTCCATTGACTGCACTGAAAAAGAAGAAGGTGAATCAATCACGTGTGAATTAATCTTGATAGGAGACTGATGAATATTCACGTATCGCTAGTTGCACACACACCGATTTTGGACGGCCAGTATAAAATCGGCCGATATTTTATTGGTAGCGAGTGCTTGCACACTCACTGGATTTTTATCGGTCAAACAATCAGTTGCTTTGTTGTCGTAATTAGCACGCACTACCAAAACGAAGTTAATGCGTAGTAACTACAATTTCACCGAGCATTCGAGGCTGGAATGGTCGGTAAAAAACCGGTGAGTATGCAAGAGTGTATTTAATCATGTACGCTACTACTTCCCGGTACTGCCGGCGATACAGTGGCAGTGGACGGCTGCTCACCGGTATTTTACCGGCGACGATCACCGATCGGCGTGTGTGCCAGGTCCTGTTCTCACATGTGGTTCACTATTGGAATTTGGACGACCGTTACAAAGTCGGCCGTCCAAAATCGGTGTGTGTGTGTGTGTGTAACTAGCGTAACAGAGACTCCTGGCCGTAAACACTAAAAGTTTCTACCGCTACTGGCCGGAACAGATAGTTGTTACCAAGATTTTGGTATTTTTTTCGTTTCAATTTTACGCCAGCCAATGCTGCGGTTGCAGCAGACTTCAAACTTTCGGCTAAACGGGAAGCCGCGATTGTGTCAACGCAAGTGAAGTCCCATACCACAGGTTTACCATATTTCCATGGTATGAGAGACATACCATCTGATCGTTTACCATCATCTTGGCTGGTACCTAGAATTTATAATCATTATTTTTCCATTAGCGCTAAGTACACACAAAAAACGTTATTACCTATTGAAATGGTTTCCTTACTATTAGTTTCTAATTCACATTTCCATATTGATCAAGGTCTCTTTAATAACGCTACAGAATCATTTCATGCTTGGATCGACTGATATGAATTATTGGTTTCAGGTCACGCCGCATTAACTTTGAGGAGTCGTCTGAGGTGTATAGTAATGAAGAAGACCGACACGGGCAAGTCGTGCGACAAGTCGAAAATCGCTGACGTTCCTACGAATGTATTGGTTCTTAATGAAGTCGTTATCGATAGAGGACCGTCTCCATATTTATCGAATATAGGTTGGTATTTGAAATCTGTTTACGATATTCATTTTTTTGGTTTGGAGAAATTATGTGTATATTTTCTCTCTCATTGAATCAATGTGAAGCAATTCAAATCGATTGTATCATGTTTTTACTTAGATCTCTTCTCAAGTTGACTGTTATTGAAAATCTGTTCCAAAAATTCAGCCGAGAGAGAAAGTTCTTTGGTAAAGTTGGTAACAGTTTCTGTCACACCCCAGTTCCTTTAAAGAACAGCATATGAATATGTCCTTAGAACTGTTGATAAATGATATTTATTGAAGATGGAAACCAACAATGATGTTATAATGTCGAAATTATGTTATGAATTTGCCTAAATGTAACCTAGATATGTTTGTCTTGTTTATTGAACATGTTGAAAAGAATTATGTACAGTAGAACTTCGGCTTCCTATCAATGGGTGGCGTCTTGTGTATAATTTATTAGTATGGTATTCTATTATTTTCATGTTCTGAGATTGTGGAAATATTTTTCTCGTCCTTTTTGTGAGAAGAAATCTGTGGAAATATACTAGGAGTAAAGTTTTTAGGTGATCTCACATGGGATTTCCACAAAGACAGTGGGATGACAGATGAAACTAGAGCCTCAAACCAAAGCAGTCGTGAGCCAACTATATAGTGCTGTTTTGACTTGCCATAAACATCATCAGTGATGTTAGGGTGAACTATGAATGCATTGCAACTAATGAGTGATACATAACACTAATTTCTCAACTATTGAGACCACTATCCATCTTCCGACGGTGTTCATTAAGTCTCAGTGGGAAAGGCTGTCCTATATAACGTCAAACACTCGTTGAAGTTAATCCCCTCGGAATCGATCCCCTAGCTAGATCAATTTACAATATTAATGGAATTCTCATCATTCCCTACAAAATACGCAAAAGTTACCTGCCTAACGCTTTATCTTGCGAAACCTGTGATCAACTTTTGAAGTTGGAAGACGCGTTTTCAGCCGCAGTGCTCAGATGCAATGGTTGATTCCTAGTGTTAGGCCTCCATGTGACGCAAATTCTGCCCTAATACAGAATGGGCCAATATAGAGCTTCCTTCCATTTACCTCTTAGGGTGATAATGCATTATCTCAAGTTGTATCAAATTCTTTCTATATTTGGTTGCTCCTCTACACAACCAAATCCGTCCAATTTGTTCCAGATCTGACTGTGGGTATCTCGAATTACAATAATATGCCAGTTTTAAATGGATACTCTATTGTTCTCCTTCATATACAGAGATATGTATTTGTTTGCTGAAAATGAAAGTTCCAAAAACAAAACGAACTTTAGCTCCACTATCCTAGGTTAGGTTAGGTTAGGTTAGGTTCAAAGTGAATGGGTCTATTCGACCCTCCTCCGCAACCCGCAGGGGTTTATTGTGGGTCACTCCTATTCACACTCGACCAAATAAACCCAGCTTCTTAACGAAGGCGATTAGTTTGTATGGTGAGTGGTCTTTAAGGTCAGATAGTAAGAGTACGGCTCTACCGAACTCTAAAAACCTGATTCGGTCCCCAACCAGCGGGGCAGGCACAGAGGCGACACACACTGTCTTCCGACAGTCCGAGTCTCTTGCATATGACGATTCAAATGACAGTGACCTGTAAGAAGGCCTGTTAGACATCGTAGTTCATCCCTAGTGTAGTCCAACAACTGTTTGGTATCAAGCTTGGAAGAATCCTGAAAGATTGTGCCGAGAAGTCCATAAATCTTCTTGCCATCCAGGTGTTCAATCTTTGTTTGGCAAAGCCTAAAGCGATGCCAATGACAGGTTCTGGTCCGATGAAGCTGCTTGCAGCATCCTCCTTTGCAAGGGAGTCAGCAGCCTCATTGCTTTCCAGGCCAGAATGGCTAGGAATCCAGACCAGGGACAATCTGTTATGTTTTCATATCGAGGAGATTCGTTTTTGGCTATTACCTACCAATTTAGACGTTGCTCGGTAGGAGCCAAAAGCTTCCAACGCCTATTGACTTGTGTATGAGGTTGGATGTTTCCAATCTCTTCCCACACAATTCAATAGCGTAAATTTCCACTTGAAATACAGTCGCATAGGCTCCTAGGGAGGTTGGTATCTCTGTCCTGGGTCTCCGAGTGAAAACACCTGCACTGGTATCGGAAGGTGTTTTTGATCCATCTGTGAACCAATAACTATATGCTCTCAACATTTCCTTCTCCCGCAGGATTCAGTCCTCTCTACTTTCTCTACTCTCCACTCTCCAGTCCTCTCTACTTTCTCTACTCTCTACTTTATAAGGCAGTTTGTAGTTGACAGTTGGAGGCATAGTGTCAGAGGCCATTTCCAGAAAGCTGTGACTTCCAGGGTGAATAAACGCTTAAGGCCGCTGACGGTGTGGTACTGATGGGACCACTGATGGCCAGACAAGCCTGTCTCTGTAAGTCAGAGAGCTTCGCCTATCTATCCTAAATTAACAGATCAACTGGTAAACAACGAATTATTTTCCTGCCGATTACCATCTTTAGTTCATTCAGGATGGAGCATAGTTCTCCTACCCGATGATTACCGTCCAGCACCCCTTCCTGACTGGAGTGTTTGTTGAAAACGCTATTCACCCGTTAACGGAGGACTCTCTTGAGTGTCGAGGCCTTCTATATCGGGGGCGGTCGTCTACAGCATAATCTATAGCTTTCCTATCCAACCGTGTTCCGTGTTCTTTCCTTTCGAAACTTGGAATCAATTTATATCCCTGTTCTACCCGTTGATTGACGGTGAAAATGGTGAAAGACGGTTAAAGTGGGACTAATTTCGATGTTTACGTTTTGTTTTCATTTCGCAGACTTCGAATGAAATATTATCATTTATGTGATTAAGGATGCATTTTTAATTCCTAAAAGGACAAACTTGAGTAAGTAGAGCCGGTGACATCTCCATTTACGACGACGCCATCTATAGGACAATCTAAGAATATCAAATATAAACGAGGTTTGCAAAGGCAGTCTGTTGGAAAGCCAGGCTTTGACATCAACCGCTGACGAGATTAGTCACTGCAGCTTTCACTGGAAGGCAACCTGTTGAAACTAGAACCCAAAAACAAAACATTCGTGTCCAACATGAGACGGCGTTATTTCGACCTGCCACTGTTCTCATTTATGGTGCTAGGCAGAACCACGAATGGCCTCTTCGTGAGGGGAGTTGTCATCGCCTTTTTTCATTCAGGCTTGTCCTTAATGATAGCCAAGTCCTACAATATATTTGTGTTTCAATCTAGCGTCACTGATGGCAGGTCAAAACAGTGCTGCCTGGTTTCCAAAGGCGGTCTGTTGGAAAGCCAGGCTTTGACATCAACCGCTGACGAGATTAGTCACTGAAAAAGATACGAGGGGGGAGGCGACTTTTGACTAGTACTGTATAAAACAAAATAGGGTGATAGCCAAGAGAATACATTTTTGGATTGAATCCATGTGGTTTCATAAAATACTTTGGCTGAACCACATGGCTTCAGTCCAAAAATGTATTTTCTTGGCTATCAGCCTATATAAGTCAAATATTACAAATGTGCTATGTACTTATTTTGATACTTCCTGTAGCCTGACAAGTGAGCACTGACGATGAAGAAAGTCGAAAGTGTTTTCTATAATTTTATGATTATACACTTTCATACAAAAACCTCTTCGATTCATAAAAACGTAGTGTCCCAACAGTTCCGAACAATTTTCATGCATTCCACGGCCGTTCTGTCATAATAAGAAGTTATCCCACTTTGCTGAGTTTAAAACTCGTTGGGTCGGAACTACTTCATCAACCTGATACGATTTTGCAGCATATCCAGATTCAAAGACCCAGTTGAATTGTCTTCTGAAAATATTGTTCCTACATATAGTATAACTCACCTTTATAGACAATATCTCTTTCCTAGAGTGGGTTAAAGGGCACGACAGGAGTAAAGGTAATCGCATTGCCGCTATTTAGCCAAGAAAGCGGATGGACTAAGAATTTTAGGACCCAGTGACACCCACGGCCTGATGACTTCGATAATTGCGGAACTAGCCAAACTTAACACCCATGCTCAATCCCTAAAGAGATGGGATGGAATCAAACGATGGGGTCTTGTCAGGATCATCCTGGGCGACCCTGGGAAGCTAGCGCCGAAGAAATATCTGGCGATGAACTAGAAAAACCTACGCTTAACATTAGGATTTCTGACTGGCTACTGTCAACTAAGAAAAAACCTCCATATTATGGGGCTAGTGGGCACACCTCTATGCAGGATGTGTGAACAGGAAGATGAAATTGTCAGGCATGTAATGTGCGAATGTCCGGAGTCATCGTCAATAAGAGAGTGTGTGTCCAGCGAGTCTTGGCCTACACCTGCCGATAAAAACGAGATGTATCCTAGTGACCTGTCCACCTTCCTGGAAAGGACAGGATGGGCGATGACTTAGAAGGACAACTCCTCGGGAGAATGTACAATGGGTCACATGTGGCCTAAGTGCTGTGGGCCTACATGTATGAAATACATTTTTATTACAAGAAAGTAGAAGGCAAATAAATTGAAAGGTGTACGAGGACTGTTTGAAAATTTCAACTTTCTTATAAGTCAGTGGGCTATGTTTGAAGATTGGCAGTAAACAAATCTAAAGAAATGAACTTTAAACGTT